CAACCTTCAGTTCTCAGGTATTCCTCTATTTCTTCCACACATTCTTCTGTTCAAGCTTTATTTTCCTCTGCATGAGCTCGGACGAATCTAGAGTGCATTCCTGGGGAAATCACCAAGAAGAATCTGTCCCACCCTCTCCTAGTTCTTCGTCCAGCTGTCAGGAAGTCTTGACCCCAGTCCCTCTTTTCGTAGTTAATCCATTGGACTTAGGACATCCTGTGAGTATGAGGTCGGGGAGTGAGGATTCGAGGGAAGAAAGGGCTGAATCTCGCGAGTTCAGTCAGGGGAATAACTCAGGTGAGTGGGGGCTAGTTTATAAATCCGTTGTTATGGGTGATATGCTGGAGAGATAAGTATGCCATTTCGAGTTCGGTGATCATGATAATGCCAGAACCGTCTAACCGAGTTGACGTTTCCCTGGAATGATGCATCGCTCTTAACTCAGCCATTCTTCAAGTCGGACTTAGGCTTCCATTCCCTAAAATAGTCCGTAAGTTCCTTTCTTTCTGGGGCATAGCTCCTACTCAGTTATGCCCGAACGGATGGCGAACACTGATCGCCACCCTCATTCTCTGGGATAAATCGGGAAATCCTGAACTGAGCGTCCAACAGTTCAACTCCCTTTTGACTTTCAAGGAGGATGGGAAGAACTCCAGCTTGTGGTATACCAGCGTTAGGTCGAGAACTGGGGGCTCGTTAGTCTTAGATACTCCGTCCTTAATCAAAAAATGGAAAGAGAAGTTTTTCTATGTGTCCAGAGAATGGCAATTCCATCCTTCGAAGGTGGACAGAGAGGATGTGGTCCCTGGGCTCTACCATTCATTTTGTTAGTGATTATAAATTTGCTTCTTTGATGAGGTCTGCACCGATGCGATATTGACCCTTGTCCTTTTTGGCAGAATATAAAAAGGAATATTTGACAAGAGATATACAAAAGAGAGCTGAGGTGATAAGGAAGTTGCCACAGATGCAGAGGTCTTGTAAGTTTGTGATCTCAGATTCAAACTTCTTTCGGGCTGGTTTGGTACAAGTGCGGGCGTCTAGTCCATCTGCTCCGAGAGTGTCTACCTCGGTTCCGTCCAGCTCAGGTGAAGGTTAAGCCTTTGTTATTATTATTAATACATATGATAATGATATTATATCTTTCTTCCCATTTCAGCACGTCACTCCGAGATGCTAGGCTACAAAGTGGATAAGGCAGCAGCTACGGCTAAGGGGAAAAGGACAGAGGTTCCAGCTGTGGAGAGTCATTCAGAAGGGACTGAGGGGGATTCCCAGCCACTTAAGAGGAATCGATCTGAGACACCCGGCGACCTTCTTCCTTAGGCAGCTTTTACTCTAGTTGCTTCTCCTCCTAGGTCAGTCGAGGAGGTTACTCCGTCGCCGGTGGTCCCAACTACCGTGCTCATGATTCCGGTGTTCGAAATATCGGCAATTACATTGTCGTCCTCAACTCCTTCGAGTGCCCCAGCTACTGACTCCACCAGCTCAGTCAGGTCGCAAGATCGGTGTCCAGACTTGCAGCGATCGAGCTTGGAGAGTTTGCTGGGCCATCTGCTAGAGATATTTCTGGATTTTCTATGTGCTCCTTCTCCGTCGAGGGAGACTACCGCGGCCTTTCCTTCACATTTGCGTGAATCCGCCAACCTTCTCACAAGGAGTTGGGGAGAAAAGGAACAGAACTTCTTGGGGGAGATGCCTGTTGGAGAGGCTATTGTCATTGCTCAACTTCATGGTCATCGCTCCATCTTGTACATAATGTCGGTGGCGGACAAGGTACTTGTCCTCAGTAATGCTTGTGTTTCAAAGATTTTGTTACTTATCGTGTTTTAATTGTATTTATTTTTTGACCTTCTCAGGTAAAAGCCGAATTCGACAAGCTACTCAAAGCCAAGGATCAGACTGTAAAATTATATGAGAGTATGAATGAGGAGAAAGTGAAATTTGCTGCCAAGGAGGAGGATTACAGAGTTCAGAGTGAAATTTGCTGCCAAGGAGGAGGATTACAGAGTTCAGCTTCAAAAAATGGGTGAGGAGCTGAATGTTGTGCTGACCTTTGAGCAGAATCTCTAGGACGAGGTTGCTACTTTAAAGATTTGGGGTGAGAGGGCCAACAAGAGGGTCGGGATGGAGAAGAAGAGAGCCGAAGAGGAGAGGGCATGTGCGGACGAGCTGAGGGCCCAGGTTTCTGAGGGGCGTTCTCATACGTTTGAGGCTATCGAGAAGATGGAGGAAGCTCATACGAGGTCAAAGGACGCAATGAAGAGAGCTGAAGAAGCTGAGGCTAAATGTGTCATAGCTATGGAGGCTTGGAGAGAATCTCCAGAGTTTGACTCCTTAGCCCAAGATGCATATGTAGTGGCCTTGGAAGAGTTGATAAAGCACGTGGGAGAGGTCGGAGTTCGATGTTACCTTTCTGGACGAAGCACTGGGCGAGCAGAGGGAGGAGCTGCGCAAATTGTCCGAAGCTGCTGGAGTTCGGATATCTCCTGCTGACCAGGATGTTGAGGGTAACACCCAGTCCTCCAAGACCCCTAGGAGGTTGTTGTTTTGAAGATATTTGGTATTTTGTAATATGTTTTGACTCATTTGCGAACTTCATTTCGATGTTTCATGACATTTTGTTTGGAATGGATGACTGTTTATGTTTTAGCATGATTTCTTTAGCAACGATCTCGTTTATATGCGACAATACCTCACAAACTTTAGTTAAATTTACCTTCCTAATGGGATATTTTGACTAAGTGTCGTAGCACATACGACCTTAGCTGGAATTGCATATAGGAAATGATCTTTAAGAATTTCTAAGGAAGAATTCTCACTAGGTATCGTAGCGTGTATGACCTTAGCTTGGCCTGCGTAATTTCGTAGAATTCCTTAGGAAGAATTTTTGTAGAATAATCATAGATCTGCCTGCGTAAGGAGCAGGACTTTGTAAGATTCCTTAGGAGGAATGTCTACTAAGGATAACACGTACTGCCTTAGATCGGCCTGCGTAGGGAGCAGGACTTTGTAAGATTCCTTAGGAGGAATGTCCACTGAGGGTAACACGTACAGCCTTAGATCGGCCTGCATAGGGAGCAGGGCTTTGTAAGATCCCTTAGGAAGAATGTCCACTAAGGGTCGCAGCATTTACGACCTTAGATCGACCTGCGTAGGGAGCAGGGCTTTGTAAAATTCCTTAGGAGGAATGTCCATTAAGGGTCGCAGCACTTACGACCTTAAATCGGCCTGTGTAGGGAGCAGGGCTTTGTAGGATTCCTTAAGAGAAATTTCCACAAAGGGTAACACGTACAGCCTTAGATCGGCCTGTATAGGAAGTAGGATTTTGTAAGATTCCTTAGGAGGAATGTCTACTAAGAGTAACACATACAGCCTTAGATCAGCCTGCGTAGGGAGCAGAGCTTTGTAATATTATGACAGAATGTTGAATAAAATGTTCGAAAACAGGAAGTCTTTTTTTTTAATTGATGTGATTGGCATTACAAGCGGGTTTTATGGACTTTCCCGTTTATCGATAGAACTGCTTGAGGTGTTTGGCATTCCAAGGATGGGGTAAGGGTCTACCTCCAAAATTTTCCAGTTTATATGCCTCCTTTAGCGAGACCTCCATCACCAGATAGGGGCCTTCCCAATTTGGACCCAGGCATCCACTGCCTACTTCTCTTTGTAAGGATCCGACCTCGAATACTTATGTTCACATTCCATATGTTCGCCATATGCACTGCCGAGAGGTTGCATTGATTATTGGTACAGGCTTTCCACTGACATCTTTCGGCGAGCTCCCTGTTCCCTTTGACTTCATCCACACCATGGGGTGCGGGGAATTTGATTGAACAGTGATATAGGGAAACTGCTGCTTTCAGGCTGAATAGTAGAAGCTGTCCCATCACAGCATCATAAGGGGAGGGAGTGTCGAATACCACGAACTCGAAGTTTGTCTTTACCTGTCGAGGTGCTGATCCTGACTCAACTTTGAGTTTGACTGATCCTTTGGCAGAGGTCAAGGCTCCGCTTAATCCTCGGACCATATTCGAGTATGGTCGAAGGAAGTTAGCAGGGATACCCATCCATTTAAGGGTATTATTTAATAGGATGTTCAGAGCGCTTCCTGTATCCACCAAGACTTTGGGGATGGTTACCCCGGCCACAGGCAACGAGATAACCAGAACTCCGGGGTAAGGGTGTGGGTCCGCCTCCTTCTCCTCAAAGGACAGTTGCTCATCTGTGGCTTTTTTGAGGTTCTTCTCAGTTATGCCGATCTCCGAGAGATCCGCAACGGCTGGTCTTTTCAATCTGGCCTCCCCGAGTTGCATGTTCGTCCTGCCTCTTAGCATGTTGATTGTGGCCTTGGCAGGTCGACATTGCAGGCCCTCGCAGTAGCTTGATCCCCTCGGATAATTCATATCCCATAAGGAGTGGAAAATTTCATGTAATAATGGTAAATTGAGAGCAGCTTTCAGTTCGTGTAAAATGGGTTGTCCCAATATTGCATTATAATTGGATGGCAAATCGACCACCACAAAATCTGCTAGGATCCTTCTTTGGCTAGGAGCTTCACCCAGCTCCACGATAAGGATGATCTGACCTCGAGCTTCAATAGGGTCCTCGAGAATCCTTGTAGTTTCTTTGGATACAGTTGGAGATACCATTCTGATATTTCCAACTGCCTCAAAGTTCGTGAGTACAGTATGTTGACTGAGCTTCCATTGTCTACCAAAGTTCGGTGGACTTTTACTCTAGTAACAGCTATTGTAACCACTAGGGCGTCACTCTGGTCCTTAAGGATTCTTTCAGAATCTTCTTCCGTAAACTAGAACCATTCAGGGTCATACCAACCCTGGGGATTGGATCTAGTAGTTCGGCATGGTTCTGGCACTTCGGGCTTGTCTTCATCTCGCCCTTCTGGATCCCTCAACATACTGATTTCCTCCAACTATCATCTTGATTTCAGCATGTGAGGGTGGATTACGGTTGGGGGGAGGCCCCTACAGCAGCGGCTACTGCGTCGTAGGTCGATCTGCTTCTTTTGGCCTGGTAACAAACTTCTGTAACCGGCCTCTTCGAATTAGGGACTCAACTTCCTCTTTTAAGTCCCGACAGTTATCAGTGTCATTGCCTACCATCTTGTGATACCGGCAGTATTGTCCCTGATGTTGTCCTGCCTGTCTGTCCTTTAGGATCATGGGTCTACGAAATGCCTCTTTCGCATTGGCTTGTGTGAATACCTCTTCCAAAGAGGCTTTGAGTGGGTGGTATTCTCAAAATTTGTATGGCTGAGCCCTAAAACATTCTCTTTCTCTCCTGTCCTTCTTTCTTTCGGGCTAGGGACTGCGACTTGGTTTTTCCTCCTTTACTGTGTTGTTGAGGTCGGGTTCGGAGGTCTCCTCCTCTTGGTCAGAGGTCGCTTCTTCAGCACTTAAGTATTTCTCAGCTCGATTAAGGAACTCATAATAAGTCCTTGGACCGTCTTCGTGTACTGACCACCAGAATTGTGTTCTGGGCCTCAATCATGCTAGTACGGTCATGAGTGCCGCATCGTCAAATATTTTTTCCACTTCCATGGATTTTTTGTTGAACCTGCTCAGATAGCTTTTGAGGGATTCGCTTCTTCCTTGCTTGATGCTCACTAGTCGTTCTTTTGGCGTGGTTCCGGCCTTGGAGCCCATGAACTGCGCCAAGAACGTTGTGGCTAAATCATTCCAATTCTTTACCGACCTCTCGTGCAGTCTTCTAAACCATCTTTGAGCTTTGTCTCCTAGAGTCAGGGGGAATGCTCGACACATGATTGCATTGCTTACCCCCTGTAGTTCTATCCATGAGGTGTATTTGTCAAGGTGGCTGAGGGGATCACCATCCCCTTCGTATGCAACGATCTGGGGGATTTTCAATTTTTCAGGCAGTGGTTCCATGAGGACATCCTCAGTGAAGGGGAAATGTCGTTTGGTTTGGTAATCTTCAGTGACACCTTTGTTTTTAGCCTCTAGGTCGGCGATTCATTTTTTAAGTGCGCTAAGTTCGGGTTCTGCTTATTCCAACGGACGTTTCAGGTCGGCTTGTCCATGTGTAGGAGTTAGTGATTGTTGGCTCGCCAATTTGTCGAACACACTTGCAGTCCACCTTGCCTCAGGTTCCTTACTTCTGACCTCGTCAGTTAGGCTTCTGGAGGATTCTCCCCTTGAAAAGTAGAGGGTCCTCCTGGTAGGGGGACGCCTTGCCTGTGTCCTTATGAGGGATTCCACCTCGGTATCTGGTGGGGACGAGTGGGCTTGACTCCTTTACAACTGTCCCACTGCGTTTGTCAATTTTTCCAGGGCTTCCCTCATGGCGGTCATTTGAGGGTCCTGCCGTCGTGGAGAACTTGGTGGTGTGTTCATTTCGAGAGGGTGGGCGTGAGATAGATTTCTGAAACTTGAACTCGGACTCATGGCTCTCAAATTTTGTGGAGAGAATGAGACTATTTTTCACAGTTAGGGCCCTCCTTCTAGCGCCAAACTGTTGACGTCAAAATTAGCAAGGCTAATCTTAAGCCAACTTTAAGGAAAAAAGAAGGGGCAATTTATTATTGTAAAAAAAACCACAAAATATGTTTAGAGAGTGTAATTATACGTTGAGTTGTTGTATGAAAATCACATGCCTTTTACAAGAATCCTATTCAACTATTTATACATAGTTTCAGCTAAAATTACATCAAATCAGTCAAATCGGCAACAGTGCCGAGCTCGGAACTCTAGTCGCCGAATTCTCCTGTGATTGGTCGATGAGGCTGGTGGTCATGTGTCAATGTGTTACCCAAGTAACGATGACCTGCAAGGGCTGAAGTTTGAGGACTTGGAATTGGTTGTTCCGAGCGATGATGATGTCACCTATGGCAAGTGCATCTGATTGATAGGGTAATCCTAATGTTTTTCTGAGATAATGGCGGGTTTGTCCTACCTGGGAGTATAGGCCGAACTTACATTTAACTGAGGTGGGGTTAGCGAATTATTTTTATTAGGTCGGAGTTCGGATGTCAGCAGACAAGATTTTAACTTTTTCTTGTTTAGTGAAGTGACGTAATTGTGACTCTTAAGATGACCATAAAAGATATGTTTATCAAATGTTCTTAATCATCAAATGTTTTTGGTTGGGAAAAAGCTACGAGTACAGCCATTTAAAAGATACCTTACGAGAATTCAAATTTTACTGACATGGCAGGGGGATTAAAGACGAGGAAATACACGGAAATGACTCTTGAACTGTAGCAAATTTTAACATTGGCCTTTGACCCATTAAATGAATTTAAAAAAAATTTAAGTTAAAACATAACTTTACACTAAAAGGGCGATTTTACCCTTCAAGGCTACAAACTGTTTGAAAGTTTCCTCTCTAACAGACCAACCCAAAAAAAAATCGAAGCCAAAGTTGCCAGAAAAAATGATCGATCAACCACCGATCGAAACCACCAATGTCATAGTGATTTCAATCGACGACTAGAAACACATATCTACCACCGGGCGAACTATTACGATTAGTTTTCTCGCAGGAAGTTGTATTTTTTGTTCCAGTTTTCATTAATTGAATTATTTTACATTTATTCGATTTAATTAGATGAAGATACATGAGTAGTTAGATTGTCGGTCATGCTGGGGTAAAAAATGTTAATTTTTTGTAATTTTTGGACCTCTCCATCGTCGACAATGACGATTTTCGACGAGAGGGATAGCAAAAGACGATAACTGTTAACAGTCGGGTCAATCTGACAGTTAACAGTCGGTCCAAACTGTTCACAGTCATGGTCCGACTGTTAACCTTCAGTGGACCAACTATTAACAGTCGTTTTAGACTGTTAACAGTCTGCAATTTTGTTTAATAATTTAATAATTGAATATTATCTGTAATTAACAATTTGTTTTGTTCCTTTTGTTTTTGTTTTTATGAAATAATCTCTGATTTTTTTTTTCAAATTTATTTAAATATTCTTTAAATTTTTTAAAAATGTATTTAATTTAAAATTTTTTGTTTGTAAATATATTTTTCAAATGATTACAAGATTAATTTTCTTTATAATTAATTTATTTTAACTTGATTAAATAATAATCATGTTAATTTTTTATTTAATTTTTATAATTGTCTTTTTTTATATATAATTTAATAATTGAATAGATAATGTTGTCTGAAATTAACAATTTATTTTGTTCCTTTTATTTTTCTTTTATGAAATAATCTTTGATTTTTTTCTAATTTATTTAAATAATATTTATATTATTTAATTTTTTTAAAAATGTATTTAATTCAAAAAAAATTTGTAAATATATTTTCCAAATGTAATATATAAGATTAATTTTCTTTATAACTAATTTATTTTAAATTTTAAATTTTTATTGAATTTTTTTTTATTAGCGTCAATATCTTGCATATTGTATGGTAGTTAGAATTTGGTTGCCTTGATTTTTTGAGATTATGCGTTATTTTATTATCTCTTGTTCAATGTTCTAACATTTGAATTTTTGCAGGATGGAGTATCATTTAGATGGGGAGTTGAGATGGATGGTGGGGAAAGCTATGTGGAATAGTAGCTTTAAGAGTTTTACTGCTGTGTTGGAGCTGCTCGATGATCATCACGGAGATATGCTACGACAGTCCTTATTGTGGCCACTGTTCCAAATGCGAGAGGTGCAATACTCAGGACGGATCATCGATGCACTTCTATGTCGGCTTCTGAGGCCAGTCAACAGTGATTCTCTCCACTTCGACCTCGGGGGCAAGGTCATCAGTTTCTCGATGTACGAGTTTAACTTAATCACTAGACTGAGGATTATAGGCGACGATGCAGCCATTGAGAGAAGTAATAGGTTGTACGAGACGTACTTCCAGAGACATGGGTCAGTGCTTCTACCCCAGTTGATGGTCGCGATCAGGGGGTGCGACCAGATGCTAAATAGATTGAAGCTTGGGTTGGTCTACATCCTCAAGAGTATGATGAGGTGTCTTCACAAGAAGACCGCCATCGACATTTTTCATTTGCAAGTTGTTGACGACGTCGATGTGTTCAACAACTATCCATGGGGCCGGAGATACTACGAAGACATTGTACATGTCTTTACTAGATCACACTTGAGGCCCAGGGGTCAATGCGTAAATACGATACATATGGATTACCCTTAGCGGTGCAGGTAAATGTTTAATATAATTAAAATTAAAGTTTTAGTATATTACATTTATGCATAATAATTGTGTGTTGCAGATTTGGGTGTATGAGACAGTCCCTGTATTGGGGGCCCGCTTTGCGAAGCGAGGGGAGACACGATGCCCTTGGATGCATCATTGGAGATCATCGTGAGCGACGGATGTCCCACTGGGAAACAGTTATCGGCCCTTCTCGACGATCCTCAGGTAAGTATTGTGCATTTGTAATTTATATTATACGTAATTTAAAATCTGTTTACATGATTGCTAACTAGTTGAAAAGTCAATATGTCAGCTTGAAATCATATCTGAGTTGACGTCGTCGATGGAAGAGGAGTCTCGGGGTCTTGTGCGGGATTTAGGCGTTCCGCACACCCAAGACGAGGAGATGTCTGATCCGAGCCTGGACCGAGATTGGGTATTTGAATTAAATATAATTTATTAAATATCGTTGACGTATAAATTTATTGAATAATTTTTAATGTTATTTATGTAGGAGGGCGGTCCAGCTGATCGACGATCACCTCCGTCGAGGGTATCGCCACCACCATTGGCATCACCTCCGCCAAAAGCATCGTCGCCGCCATCAACATCACCTCCGTCGAGGGCATCACTGCCGCTATTGGCATCACCACCATCGAGAGTACTTCCTTCTGCCTCGTCCAGACACCTCCCCCGTGTATCTCCGGCACACAGCAATGATTTATATGCCCGTCTGACTGGATTTATAGCGGAGGAGATCGACGCGCTACAACGAGAGTTGACAGAGAGGGTCGATGATCTAGAACGAGAGTTGACAGGGAGGGTCGACGATCTGACAGGGAAGGTCGACTATCTGACAGGGATGGTCGACAATATGGGACAAGAGTTAACAGGGAGGGTTGACGATCTATCCCATGATGTTGGAATGCTACGGTCTTTCGTTGTCGACCTTCAGGATACGGTAGGTGATGAGGGGATGGCAGAGATGATGATCGAGAGAGTGGCAAAGATGGTGATAGAGAGGGGGTCACCCACATTTTTGACGTGATGAGACATTAGAATCATTGTGGTTGTCTATGAAGACGGAGGGGGTGGCCCCGATGGGAGGTACGGAGGAGGAGGGGGAGGCCTCGATGGGAGAGGCGGAGGAGGTGGCCCCAATGGGAAGGGCGGAGAAGGTGGCCTCGGAGGTCGAGAGGACGCCCATAGTGATTTAGGGTAAGAGACATGCTGTTGATGAGATGGAGCAGGTGGTCGGCAAGAAATTGAGAGTGTCGTTACAGTATGTTGTTTTTCCCTTCACGGCTGAGGCCAAGAGGAGGACGTTCATCGATGGGATGCACCCGAACTTATTCATGGAGGTGGACAACACCAAGTGGAAAGCGTTCGAGACGGAGTGGAGAAGAATTATCCCCAGGTAAGTATTGTATGATTTTAATAAAGCACTGTATGCTAACTCGTCTATGTTTATTTTAACATTTCCCTATTTTTTCAAAGTTAGCCGCACGATAGGTAACCAGACAGTCTCGGACCCTTGCAAGTGATTCCACAATATCACCACTTCGAGAGCTTGGCTCGCCGACAATGTAAGTGAACTATTCATTTCGTGTTTTTTATGTATACGTCACTTTGTGTT